TTCTCTAGAAGCGTGTTGTTTAGATGGGGTATTATGGGGGGTTGTTGCAGACTGTGTAGGAAGACATCCAGGTCAATTTGAACTTGACAAAGGGAGCGCGAGGGAATCAGGGTGGAAGTTTGTTTGAAGTACAGTGAACTCTTAATTATCCTGAAAATCAGATACTTCCAAGTGGCAGGTTTTCTAAGCATATCTAAGCAGGTTTAGAAAATGTTTTTGTTCTTGTGTTTGATTTTTGACGTGTCTGATATTGAAGACTTCTAACCATTACTGCCCCAGTGATGGGTACATAGCGAGTGTTCAGTAAATAGCTGTGCAGTGATGAAATTGATGAGTGAAACACACACACACGCAGGAATGGGCTGGAAACATTTGATCTTCTCATGTTTCGAGCTCCCGAGGGAAAGTTTGCTTTGGAACACTTCTGATTCCTTCAAGCCTTCTCCAGAAGGAAGGTAATTGCGTGATTTTGTTCTAAGCAGTTCCATTTTTCTGTGGCAGGTGACAAGTGAGAAACAATCAGCATTAGCTTTCCAACGAAGTGATTTATAAGCCCAGAAGGTGCTGCCAATAATATTGAAATCAAATCTGTCATTTAATCCAGTGATGTGTTGAATTCGCTTTCTGGGTTGCGGGGGAGAATCTGCTAGCCAACACACTCTTGAAAATGAGTACTCCTGGTGCCCAAGTGGTCGTTCCAAAGCCAGTGTCCTGAGGAGGTGGAGCTGTGTGTTGGAGGTAACCAGTGTTCTGTAGTTGGTTCACACCCAGAAAGCCTTGGTCACAGCTCTTCTACATCAAACAGGGGGAAAGAAACTTTCCTGCTGATGTGGAGTTGGGCGGGTTTTTGGCACTTACGTGTAAGGTGATTATCTGGATTTCATTACCCTTAGTGGGTTCGCTTAAAGAAAAATGCAGAAAAGAAGAGAATATTTGTTTGGTTCAAGTGTGAAATTGTAGGTGGATACCTGTATATTTATTCATCAGAGGAAATTTGGGATTAATTGAAATAAAATATTTCAACTAGTATCAGTTCATCATCAGGTTTTTTTTGGAGGGTGGGTTGTCAAAGAACCTTTGTAGTTAACTAGCCGGGCAGCCCCCTGCACCACTCTTTCTGTCATCTATGATGCTGTGAGGTCGGCTGCCACCAACGTTGCTGTCCACAGACCGGGCCGTCCCCAGGGTCTCTTTAGTGGTTCCAGAGAATTCTCTGGCTGAAGTTGGGTGCCGCGTCGGTCAGGCAGTGTTGACGGTCTCACCAAAAGTGATGTGTCCTCTGTGCTTAATGTTTTTTCTGCTTCTTTCTGTCTCTTGGTGGTTCCTTGAGGGCTTTGATGATCAGGGCAGGGGCAGAAGGTGCCACCTGTGTGGTCAGTGTCACTGTCATCCTCAGACCCTTCAGCTGCCTTGGTGGTGTCGTCACCAGCCTTTGTTGGAGACAGACCCAGGACGCCGATCCTGGGGGCCAGGGGAGGGAATAGGTCGTAGTTAATTTATCAAGGTGATTGTTTTCTAAAACTGAATGGTCATTAGCATCATTTGATAAATCTCTTGAAAAATAGTTTGCTGGGCCCCACGCCAGACTGTTGACTCACAGTTGAGGGCGGGGCTGCACTCCTCCCCCCACCACCGGTGGTGCTGGTGCTCAGCTCAGTGGGTGGCCCTGCCCGTGGCCTCCCATCCCTCCCTCCCTCTGCAGCATCATGGTCCAGCACCGGCCTCCCGGCCATCCGCCTGTGAATGGACACACCTGCAGTGGGGCCTTGTGAACGTTTTTCTCATCAGCCGTACAGTCAGGAAAAGCACACTTACTAAAGGATCGAAGACTGCTTTGAAAGTGGAATTTTCCT